CGGGGGGGGGGGGGAGACAAAGACTGGCGCCAACATGTGTATGTGAACAATAATACGTTAGTCTACACTATGTGCCCATGGAATTTTTGCCATGATCGTAGGTTGGGTCAGGAAACCTGGTAATTTTGTTGGCCTGGTCGACCAACCACTCAACTCGTACTCAACTAGAAAATCACTCACTTAAACTCTTTGATCCAAGGCATCATTTCACGATCTTCACCATTACAGAGATGGTCATAATCACCACCACTGTGCCACGGGTAGAATGAATGAAATCTAACCATGTATAAACCCTGGAAATAATTAAAGGAAACACATTTAGCATACACAGAAGCTGTCTCTATGAGCAGGCTAGCCAAAGTAATCTGACCTACTCGTGTCGTTCGTATCTAATGCTTTACTAAATGTATATCGAACCTACACTACAAACTGAACCCCTTAAGTAGCAATGTGCCTTACGTTATTATTTTACTCTGTCTAATGTCAGATGATTTTACTTGGCAAGGAGAGGGTACTGCCACTGGGGACCTGGGGTATTAAATAATAAGTTTGAGGCCTAGTGATTCTGCGTTGTAAAAGCTTCTTGAGGTTGTGTACTCCTTTAGAAATCGATTCCCATATTCATGAACTTTTTTAAGACATTTAGCAAGATCTTGAATGTTTAAGTAACATTTTCAATGCATATTCAGTGCGAAATAGTCTGCCCAGAACAATTATGGAATCTAACGTCTTGCATTCTGGAAGAATATTTAATTGGACAGTGGGAGCCCAAGGCAAATTGCCCCTTTTGCCCACCACTCCCCCCACCTCTGGGCACACCCACCCAAATATTAAACCCCTATACATCAAAGTATTGGGCTCTTGGAAGTGATGTCACAACAAGTACTTGTTGACTTCCGCCAATTTGGGTGGCAAATTAAAAATTAAAATAAAAGTTAAAAGCAAACATGGCATCAAAGCAAGACTGTAGTTTTGTTTGAGCACTTTGAAGAGTTATAATGGTCCACAACTGGGTAGTAGGCAGCTGAATAAAAGATTGTTGCCACCCAAAATGGCGGATTATTTTTGACGATACGTCATAGTCTGCAAGACCAGATAGGGTCAAGGGTTTAAATATGTATATAGTAAACAAACAAACAAAGAAAGAAATGGTATTCACTTCTTTAGGTATCTTGGATCCATTGTGAATTAATACTTGATACATGTATTCTGCAATGGAAGCACATTATGTATAGCGCCACAAAATACAGTTGTTTTTCTTTATAATACAACTGAACAGATGCATGCAATAAACATATGGTATTACGTGGTGAAAGGCAGGGTTAGGGTGAATGGAGAAAATAGGAAGAACATGGATGCATAAAAAGTGAAGAAGAAAAGAACAGTTTAACACAGAATAGAATAATAGATACAAGCCTCGCTCTCATGAATCGTGAGCCAATTACCTTGCATAATTTACTAATACTCCAAGACCGCCAAAAAGTATGTGTGACGTAATTATCGAAATGGTGTATATTGAAGTGGAAAATGGCCTTTAGTTTTCTCCCGTAAAAGTAACAATGGAGAACAAATTGAGTTGAGATGACATTGACCATATTTCCTTACTGTATCTCTGGGAAGACGTTTGCATATTATCTACTAATAGACCTATTCAGACATTCCAACTCTCCCGATTTTAGAGGGAGTCTCCAGAAAATTCATGCAATCTCCCGGTCTCCTGATTTTTATCAAATTCTCCCGATTTTTCAGAATATTCAGGAAATATCATAAAAAATTATAAATATACTGTTTTTAGCAACATAATAGTCTGTCTTGACATTTTTTGAAGTTGCTTTATGGCAATTTATAGGATCACTTATAACAACATATTCCCAAAATGCAGGAAACGCCATTTCAGAAGACTTAATTTTTATTATTTTTTCCCAGAAGAACTAGATTTCAATTCACTAAACAGTCTCCCTAATTTTTACCTCCAGTTGTTGGAATGTCTGCCTATTCAACATATAAAGTAGCCCCGTAGACTATGTAGGCTATGGAACATTATAAAATTCAAACCACAATTTGGTTCATGAAACTGACAGAACTATCGAACATAAAGTGTCCCCAATTACATCATGTAGGCTATATTATAAAATCAGATATCTTACCATCATGTCCCCAGGACATTTGGACGTTACTCAAACCGCAATTTGGTTCATACATCCCACACTTTGAACTAAGATGAAATAAAAACCATACTCAATATATACTGTACATCCCCACTTTCATACTGCATTCTAAACTCATTCAGGATTCAGGCTGCGTTTACAATGGATTCACAACGTGCTTGGAATGATTTGATTATGATTATTCAGCTCACTCCCCCATTGGGCTTTTAG